GGTTATTATTCAGTTGCTTTTGCTATTGTATAAAGGCTGAAGGGGGAACTGGGACACTGTGTGTGTGTGTGTGTGTGTGTGTGTGTGTGTGTGTGTGTGTGCACATTACATGGTTGTTGTATAAAAGAAAAAAATAAGGTCAGTGAGAGTCTCTGTGCATGGACCAAACCCCCTAAACAGGCACTAAGGAGGGAGAAAATGCTATTGCTTTGTCCTTCTGCACTTAGGAAACTGAGGCATGGACATGTCACAGATTTGCTCCAAGTCACAATGCTGGTATAGTGCCCCAAGCACCGGGCAGTCTGCTTTTCTAAAGCCAGGCCCTGCAGAATTTAGCTCTTTGGAGGGAGCAGTTCAGCCATTGTACTTGTCCTCTTCCAGGTACGCCTGGCCCAGCTGGCGCGGGAAGACGCAGAGAGAGAAGTAAAGGAGAAGGAGGAAGCACGTCGGAAGAAAGAGCTCTTAGAAAAAATGGAGAAGGCTCGCAACGAGCCAGTGAATGACTCAGAAATGGTGGACAAAATGTTTGGATTCCTGGGAACAACCTCCTCCCTGCCTGGCCAGGAAGGACAGGCACCCAATGGCTTTGAGGTACTGGAGACATACACGAGCCTGGCTATCACATGAAAGGCTTTAGCAACACATTAATGATTCAGGGGAGAGTATGGCAATACAAAAAAAGTGGGTCTCTGAAGGCTTCCTTCGAGACCAGGCTCTTCTGTGTGGCCTCAGAGGGTTACCGTGCTGTGGCTGAGGACAGACAGGCAGTCTGTAGGCTTTCTCTGGGGTTACCAAATGGAGAAGAGCAGTATCACTAAAAGATCATCGAGGACCTTTGAGATGTTTTCATCACGTGGTTCATCACGGCTCACAGCATTTAGCTCTTGGACACCCTTTCCCCATGCTAGGAGTGGGGCCATGCTTGTTGCTTCTCCTACTGCTCTGGGGACATTCCTGGGTACAGGCATGTCCTTCAGGACTTGGGCTTTGCATGGGCTCCAGAGTTATATTTCATGGTTTTTCCTCCAGCTGGCTTTTCCTTTTGGGATGGAAACCAGACAGACAGAAATGTCAGGCCCAAAGGGAAAGGGTAATTCAGTATCCAAAGCCATGCTGAGTGCCTGACATGTCCTTCCCCACCAGGATCTTGAGCGAGCCCAGAAGGAGCTGGAGGAAGAGGACCTGGATGCAGCATTGCCTCTCCCTGAGGAAGAGGAGGAAGATCTCTCAGAGTACAAATTTGCCAAGTTTGCCGCCACGTATTTCCAGGGTACGACGACACACACCTACATCCGCCGGCCTCTCAAGCAGCCTCTCTTGTACCATGAAGATGAAGGAGACCAGTTGGTGAGGCAGGGGATGAAAAGCCTCGAGCAGGGCAGGGTGGGTTGGAGCAAGCCTGGGGAACCCTTCAGCCAAAGGGCACCAGCAGTTTCCCTTTGGGATACACTGGTGTGCTCATGGTTGGGAGGAGAACACAGCCCCCATCTGCTGCCCATGTGTCAGTAGACACTGTCCCACCAGCACGCTTTGAGCACTGACAAGACAATGAGCATTAGAGCGATGTAGCGTTAGAGGGGTGAGTCCATCTCTGTACCTTGATATTTGTGTTAAGACAATTAATGAAATGCTCTGGGCTCAGGGCCTGGACAATGAAAATTTTTGAGTGAGTACCGCTTGTAAAGCTGCTACTCGGCAGCTGGAAAAGTTGCCTCTTACCTTGTCTTATGCACCAGTGCAGAGCCAGCAGAGAAGAAACACTTGTCCTATAGCCAGCAATACAAGAGCAGAACTGTATTGAACCTGCACGGCTGTAATGAACGTTACATTGGCCATGAACTTGCCTTCACTGTGGTTCTCCTTCCCCTGTACAGTGGGTTACGAGCTGCCAGTCACTGCCTCTCTATAAGGTTGGCATCTCCTAGCCAAGAAGCAAAACCCTTGTAGGGTGCACAAACACACTCATGATGTGTGATGAACACAGAGCCTGAATTTGTGGTCCCAGCCACCAGCCTGCCCGGCTTGCTTGAATGGGATGTATGCTGCAGGCAAAACTGTTATGTGTGACGCAGGAAAGTGTTTTATCTCCTGCAGATGTACAGAGAGAGCACAGTGGCAATCCTGATGGATTCAGCATGGCTTGACCACAACGGAGTTAATCTTTCCTTTCAAACAGGCAGCACTTGCTGTATGGATCACTATCCTCCGTTTCATGGGAGACCTCCCTGAGCCGAAATATCACACAGCCATGAGTGATGGTGGCGAGAAGATACCAGTGATGACAAAAATCTATGAGACTCTTGGGAAAAAGACCTATAAGAAAGAACTGCAGGCTCTGCAGGGAGAAGGAGAGGTAACTTTCAGTGAATTACCTGAGAAGGAGAGTAGCCTCATCTGGATTGTAATTCTGTAAAAATATACACCAGGAATAACCTTTCATTCCTTCTACCTATCATTTCTTGCTTGTTTATTACAACAAGGTATATTTTGGCCAATTGAGACATCAGGTAGTACAGAAGAGAAGGAAAATTTAAGCTGTCACTTTTGTCTGTGGTTACATCTGCTCTGCAGAGTGCACAACAGTGCAGAGAGATGTCTGAGCTGATCCTGAGCGTGATGATATGCAAATCCAGGTTTACAGTACCAACTTGGCTTTATAATGGATATAAACCATCACAGCTGCAGGACCCGAAGTGTTGATCTGGTATAAAATGACAAGTCTTTTCAAAGCTGTTTATATGGGGAGAGGTTAACTGGGTCAAAAAGTGACGTGATTATCCATGCCGTCTTAATCCCACAGCTGGCATAAAGTTGGTATAAAAGTAGAAAGCCAACAGTAACTTGATGAAATGTGGTCAGTGCCTGGGTCTGTCCCACATCAAATTTGTTCTTCTGGGAGATCTGCTAGAACACAGAGCTGGTTAACGGTGGTGAAACCACAATGGGTAACTACCTGCCCATGAATCCCTGGCTAGATGACTTCCAGCTCACAAACCTGCCGTGCGAATGACTCGTCTCAGAGAGTGGTCTTGCTCATCTCATTTGCAATGTAGGAACAAGCCTGAATGGCATACAGCAGAACTGGGTGGACCTAGGTTGACTAGGAGTCAGCCATGTATTCAACGTAAATTTTTCAGGTGTCCCCAATATGTAATTTTGATCTGGGGGAGGCTCATTTATTAGAGAGTATCTGCAAAATTCAGAGCCAGGCTTGGATTATCAGGGGGCATGGAATATGGGTCCACGCTTCTGGTTCCCACCAGCCTCTGAAATATCTCACTCTCTGCCCAGGATTAACGGTCTTTTGCAGGAGCCTGGGGGAGGCAGGGAGAGCATGCACCCGGCAGGGCTCTCTGTCTCACTGCATTGCCTCCACACCTCTTGCTTTGCAGAGTACTCACATTGATGGGCACAAGAAGAACAGTGTGCGGCACAAACTGGTCTCCTTAACACTCAAGAAGAAATCCAAACTGACGGAGGAGGTGAGAGGAGACGCTTGGCCACCTGGCAGCACAAGTGCCGTTGGATTGTCTGCAGCCCTCTCTGACTCTCTTCTGCTTTTCCCTAGACAACATAGAACCAGCCCTCCTCTGGGTTTGGCGCTACCTGTCTCTCTGCCTGAAAGATTTAAGGAGTGTTTAAGGGGAAAGGTTGGCTTCCCGTGTCTCCTTGAGTCATTCTGCACCTCGCGCCGGCCTCCCCTCGGCTCCCGTTCTCCATCCATCCAGCATCTTCCCTCCCCTCTTTCACAGCCCTCCATCCAGCTGCCGATACCTCCCACCACTCTGTGATGGTCTGACTGTTACCCCTGCTTTTAGCTTCCTGCCCTCCACCGTGGTGTAGGTAGCAGAGGTGGGGTCTCCAAAAGCACTCACCCATCCTCTGCTCCTCTCCAGTGCCAGGGGGCAAAACTCCCCATGGGAGCAGTTAGCCCAAGCTGAGAGCTTTTGAAAATCCCATCCCAAAATAGCGAGGAGCAATAAATCTTTCGCGGGGGCGGGGGTGAAAGCAATGCAAAGACATGGATTCAGTCTGCTTTTACACGCTGCCTTGTCCACTTCCAGAGCAGGCACCGTCTCACCTGGCTGTAGCTGCTTGAGAGCATGAAGATTGCTCTCTAAGATAGTCACCCTCCTTCCCTTTAGGGTTAGTGGGGAGAAATAGGACCCAATCCAGCTTACCCTAATGTGGCTCTGAACACACTCTAGAAATGCCTGTCTTTCTCCAGTGGCTCTGAATGGAGACAGGGTTGACTAGCTGAGACAGAGAGCTGGTAGGTGGATGAATGCCATCCCTGTTCTCACAAACAGCACCATGCTTATGTGCTTTTGGCTGCATCATTAGCATGGGGAGCAGGTCCATTCTGTCAGTGTTTTAATAGTTTTTTTAATATAACTGAGTTAAAGGGACAGGCCTTCCTTGGCAATAAGCTGGGGTTGTTCCAAAGATCCTTGGTGGCTCTTTCCCGGCTGCAGGACCAGCTCAGAGCTGGGATGCAAGGGTGCCATTGTAGAAACCCTGGGCAAAGAGCAGGCAGGTGGGAGTGTGACCAGCCAGGACCATTTTCAGGTTCACTCATATGTGATTAAAGCCAATAAAGTCACACCCTCCCATTGCTGATGAAGTGCTAGATCGAAGAACTTCTGAGACCCCTCCTGGCTGGTGGAGGAGTCCTCCTGGGCAAGCACCACACATTTGGGATGGGGTGGGGGGGGACATAGTAACTGGCTGTACTGAAAGAGAGCAATGTGTCTGGTTGGCAGGTGACAAAGAGACTTCATGATGGTGAGTCGACGCTCCAGGGTAATAGCATGCTCGAAGATCGACCCACCTCCAACCTGGAGAAGCTCCATTTCATTATTGGTAACGGCATCCTCAGGCCAGCCTTAAGGTTAGAAATCCAGACAAAGGCATAAACATGCCATTCTTTTCACTCCTCCTTCCTTGAGCTATTCTTGTCCAAATGATTTTGCTATTGTGTGCAGCTTTACAAAGCTCTCATTATATCATTTTTCTGGTTGTGTTGTATAATATGGGCTGGATCATGTCCCTTACTGTCCATATCAGGCCTGATGGAAAGACCACACAGAGGCACTCAAACGCTTCTGAAAGTGCTAGTGGCTACTGGATTGTTTTTTTAACGCTCACTCCGGTTGTTCACTACCCTTTGTTTTCTATTTGACCATTTAGATGTCTTTGTTTGTGTGAATATTTTTAATGATATACTAATGAAAAACTCTAACTCATTTCAGATACTAAATTAAGCATTCAAAAATTGGAAAGTGCCAAATTAAGGCCAACTGCACATCTTTGGTTTAGCCCATTTACGTGTGCGTGTGTTATAATACAGTCCTTGCTTATGTAGTCTCACAATCTTTTCACTCACACCTATCTGCTCACTCCAGGAACAGGGTGGGCATCCTCACCTGATGACCAGCTTCTCTAGTTTTCATTTTGTCCTCCCGGTTTACCATGAAACCCTTAACCTTACTTTTCTGCACAGTCTGCTCTGAAGGCAGACCTGGTAGTGTCCCATGGGCTTTCCCATGGGGTTTGTCAGTGTAACAGGTTGGCTAATATTTTTGTTGCCTCCCACGTAGATGAGGAAGTGCTGTTATCCCTCATTTTGCATGTAGAGAACTAAGGTTACAGTCAAAACTGGACATTAAATCCCAAATTGAGATACCAGGCAATGTACGTGCGTGTTTGGACGTAAGAGCTGGACAAACCTTGACCTCCGCTGGAGCTGATCGTTCCCAACACTTCCACAAAGCAAATTCAGGTGTCTCAAGAGGAACAGCCAGCAAATGAAGACTCACAGCTGATGGCCTTCTATGAAAGTTAGTTTAGGAGACTCTCTTACTGGAAAATCTTTGTAAGAAGCCAGAATAGACTCCATCATCCAGAGGTGACATTGAGCTTCCCTGAACCTTGAGACTCCCTTTTATTTCCCTCCTTCTCTAAGCAGTGTCAGTCAGCTGTGGGAAATCTCAGCTGAAGCACAGGGAAGACTCAGTGGGCGTTACAGGACTGGTGATGGGTGGCATTTTAGAGACACTGCAACGATCAGGGTGACCATCATTAGGGCAGTTAAATCAATATCCTTGCGATGCTAAAATGAACTTTTAACTATCAATCATGTGCAGACAGGGTCTGTCTCTCTCTCTGTTTGTGTTGAAAACCACCACCTTCACTCTAATGCTTTTTTCATTCCTATTGCAGGGATGAAATCTATTGTCAAATCTGCAAGCAGCTGACCCAGAACCCATCCAAAAGCAGCCATGCCAGGGGTTGGATCCTGATGTCCCTCTGCGTGGGATGTTTTGCTCCTTCTGAGAAGTTTGTGAAGGTAAATTGTAGATGATATTTGTCTCATTATCTGCCGATACATTTTCTTTTCCAGCCACGGGACCAGCTTTTCTCTTGGGTTTCAGAGGAGAGGGAATCCTGGTCTTTATCTTTGCCAGGAATGAAAATGACATAAAGTTCCTAGGAAAAGTGTGCGTGATCCCAAGTTCGATATCTAAAGTGGATCAGATGAGTCACTCCTGAGTAGTGACTCTCTCTTTCCTGTGACTTTAAAGGGAGTGTAGTCAACCAGTTCAGATGATGCCTTCTGCATTGTAGATGTGTGAAGATGTGATTAAGTGATTTCTGGCAGGAAAGTTAATTGCGGGAGGCTGCAAGTGGAATTTGCACGCCCAGAATAGCCCACATTTCCCTTCTATTTCTCACATGCAAAGGTCTATGCATTCATTCAAGCATCTATTGGCTTCGACATTATGACCTCAGGCACGTACTCTAACAAAATTGGCAAGGAATAGTACTACAGCTAATTATAAATATAACTTAATATAGAAAATTGCACATACAACGGGAAGGGTTTAATTTACCTGGAAGTATGTTTGCATAGTTGCTCTCTGCATGCTACAACTTGCCCCACCATGTGTCATACTGAAAACATCCAACTCTAAACAGCCACATGAGAAATGACATGTAACGTATCTTTAGAAGCACTGGGTAGCAGCAGGACTGAAGTCAGTGGGAGATGCTAAGTGGCCACCACTTTTGAAAATCAGGTTATTCTTAAGGATTTTCTTTTTTTTCTGGGCAAAGTTTTGTTGCCTAGTTTTGAAGTCTGCCTTCCTAATGAGTTACACACCTAGAGTCTGACTAACACCCACTGGACTGCTCAAGTTAATCCCATGCCTAAGAGTTTGGCTGGCTCAGAGCAAAGGGCTCAGCACTGTGTTTCCTTTGCTGTGATATAAGTCCTCCTTTGTCCCTCTCAGATCTTTGAATGTTGGAGCCTGGACCTGCTCCAAAGCCTGCTGGAGATAAAGATGTTCCATTAATTTCCATAGCTATCAGATCAGGTACTGGGTCCTCAGCACTGAAAGAGCTGAAGCCAAGAATAGAAATCCCTCCTTCATCCTAAGGCCTTGCCAGTATGAAATCTAATAAAGCAGATAAATCACTGGCAAAGTGGCAGAAAATTAAATTATGTCTGGAAATGAGATCTGAGAAAGTATGCCACAGGAGGTTGTGTGGGTTTAAATCTTTAATAGCGGAAGATTATTTTAGGTACGTGAAGCACTTCTCAGAAATAATTTATGGGTAGCTCTGGAGACTCAGACATAGAATCATAGAATAGTTTGGTTTGGAAGGGACCTCTAAAGGTCATCTAGTCCAACCCCCCTGCCGTGGGCAGGGACATCTTCAACTAGATCAGGTTGCTCAGAGTCCCGTCCAACCTGACCTGGAATGTTTCCAGGGATGGGGCATCCACCACCTCTCTGGGCAACCTGGGCCAGTGTTTCACATGTACCTCTGCCCAAAGCACGGTCCATGCTGAAATATGTGGCAATACTCCCAACAGCTTTGGAGAGGGTTTATACTAATTCTGCCCTTATTCATCACCCTTTTGCACCTTGGGCTGTAGGAGATGATAGGCAGCCTGTGGTGACTGAAGCTCCTCGAGTATGAGCGCAAACAACACTTGCAGCAGCCCACACTGTGGTTACCTTTCAAGGCCCCAGTCTTGCAGACAGCAGCACACAGGCAGTGACTTGTGCAATGTCTCGGAGCTCCTCTGAAGCCGCTGTAGTTATCCATGGGGACATCATTGACACCTTCCAGCTTAAAATGTTATGTTTTGAGATAAAGCATTCTCATGATGAAATGTTAACTCTGCCCCTGAACCATATATGTTCCCATCCAGACTCACTTTTTTGTTTTGTGAAAAGCAGAGGAACATTCATAGTTTGTTGAAGTTCAGTTCTCTCTCAAAACTCTTCTGTTTTGAAGCTACATTAACACAGGCCACCTAGTCCAGCCTGTTCTGGGTTGGGAGACAAACTCCACATCAGTGCCAGACTTACTCTCAGACTCTTAATCTATTACTACCATGTGTTCAGGAGCTAGTAGTTGGCCGAAATCTGATTTACTATGAGTCCTTGATTGAACTTGATTGCTGCTTGGTTGCTGCTTGAACCATGCAATAGCTACCATTGAACGTAGCCAGTTCAATTGAACTCTCAGCCAGTTAGCTAGGTGACATTTTGTTAACCTCACGTCTTTTTCAATTGATGCCCTAACTTCTCATTTAGTGGTAATTATCCACCATTTTAATAGAAGGAAAAGCATATAAGGGTAAATATCTCTTAGCATTTCTTCCCTATACGCTTCCATTCAGTGAATGTTGTATCAGACTCCTGGTTACTTTTCTCTTGAAACCTCTCGGCTCTAATTTTAATAGCAGCAATATTATGGAAAAAAAGATGAGGAATTTCAGGAAACTGTTGTGCCTGGAAGTTGTTCCACAACCTTCAAAGGTGTCAATTAGAACTGAACATTTTGAGAAGGATTTAGCTGATAATGAGGCAGTCTTTGATATGTTTTCCTGCTCCCAAAGATGAAGGTCACGCTTTGGATCCTATTAGACACCTTTATCGCATCATATGCTAAGCATGGGTCAAGACACATTAGCACTCCTGTTCTTTGTACTTTTCTTTCGACTGATAATGGACTTTGGTGGGAAGGTTCAGTCACAAGGAAGGAGAAATACAAAAAATATGTAATTACATTGTTCATTATTAACAGCATAATTAAAACTACACTTTTACACAGCATCAGCTGCTTGCAATCATTTGCAACAGCTCCCATCCATATAACCCAGCTGTATTACCTGGTTATTTCAGAGTATCTCTATAAGCTACGATTGAGAGAGACATCTGTCTCTCTAGCCATGTTATTTATGGACTGACAGTGTTATAGAGCAGTTTGTGTTACTGAGGGAACAGCTGTGTGTTATCATTCAGAGAACTCTTTATCTATCTATAAAGGCTCCCTGAAAAAAATTATTTACAGAACTATTAGTCTTAGCTACCTTTTTGGCTAAGCTATTTATGTATTATTTTTAAGTGTATTATCTTTCATATTGTGGAAGTCACTGGATTTAATTTTCTCCACAATAATGTAGTTGTATTTTTAACATATGGTGAAGTGCTTCAAATTCTGGTTTAGGATCTTCTAAAATGCAATTTAAAGTCTGACTAAAGAAACATCTGTTCAATGTAATCGTGAAAGGTCTTTTGTACTGGCAGCTAAGTGTTCTGAGTGTCATTTGCTTACAATTCCCCTGGATCATTACTTATACGCCTTTTTCATTCACTCCCATCTTTTTGGCCAACACTCAATAACATTTTATAATACATCTTTAAAATACAGAGATAGAAATCAGTGGCAGCAATAGCAGGAACAGAAAAGCTGCTGCACTGGCTTCAATCAAAGGTCTGTCTAGGCTGGTATCTTATCTCCACCGAGGCCAGAAATGAACAGTATAAGAACAAGGCAAGGGTGCAGGCTGTCCTACTCTCTCTCAGCTTCCAGCAATGGGATGCAGGAACATCCTGAGCCTGAGCGGTATCACTGCCGTTAGTCCCAGAGGGCTTTTCTCTAATAAAACATTGCTTTTTAACCTTTGCAAATGCTTGGCCTCTAGAGCCGATGGTCTAACCAATGTGTTCCCTGCTGCCAACAGTATTTAAGGAACTTTATCAACGGAGGCCCCCCGGGTTATGCTCCCTATTGCGAAGAGAGGCTGAGGCGGACGTTTGCCAATGGGACAAGGACGCAGCCACCCAGCTGGCTGGAGCTGCAGGTATGAGCCCCACCATCCCCTCCCCAGGCAGCTGGGGCTCAGGGTTTAAGCCTTTCACTATCACGGGAACCATATCTCTGGCAGGACAGAAAGTAGGGCGACAAAATGCCTATTTCTCTCAAGAATTTTCAGGTATTTCCAAGATATTGCATTCCCTGTGCATCCTGGCTTTGCTCCAGAGTATGTTGAAGATCAATCCCTTTGGCTACGTCAATACTCGTAAATTAAACGTGCTCGAGAGTGCCCTCGGGCATTGGGGCCAGCTGGCATGGAGCAAGCCCCCATGTATGCTGGGAAACTCTCTTCCAGACAAAGGTGGCTGCAGGCAAACTGCCTACTGAGAATGGTCCCTGGGACTTGTTCGGGGATAGCCGTAGCTGGAACAGGCACAGTTTGTGCAGTACTTGCTCATTTTCTATGCTGGTTTACTAGCATAGACAGCTGTGCTCTGAGCATTCCCGGGCATGCTTGGATTTACTGGATTAGACACTTCGATGACTGAATGTGTTAAATAAAAAATCTGGGACTTCCAAGTGCTTCCAGTGGCTGACCGTACATTATGCTGTTGAGAAGTATGTTATGGTAGTACTGAAAAGCAACCAGTCAGTGGAATCGGGAATTAGAAAATAGTTACCACAGTTGGGTGGAAGAGTATGTAGGTAAATAGTCTCGATGGGATTGAAATACACGTGCCTTTATAAAGTTTGACTTTAATCCATTAGGCAACCAAATCCAAGAAACCGATCATGCTGCCTGTCACATTTATGGATGGGACAACAAAAACCCTATTGACCGACTCTGCAACAACCGCTAAAGAGCTCTGTAATTCTTTGGCCGACAAAATCAGCCTGAAGGACCGATTTGGCTTTTCACTTTACATTGCACTTTTTGACAAGGTATGTCTTAAATTATGTTCCTGACTAGCCCTATAAAAGAAGAGGGAGGTTCTCCTTGCTGACACGTATCTTCCAGAGGCCAGAAGGACCCTGTGCTCTGAGCAAACAACCAGCTTTCAAGGTCAGGAAGGAACTTTTCTACAGTGCAGGTGCCAGCATGATTTTCACAATAAGAGTAGTCAAACACTGGAGCAGGGTTGCAGAGACAGTATGAAATGTCCCTCCTTGGAGATATTCAGAATTTAACAGCAGAAGGCACAGAGCAACCTGATCAAAGATGGACCTGCTCTGACCAAGTGGGTTGGACCAGAAACCTCCAGAAGTGCCTTTCCACCTACATTATTCTGTGATGCTATGCTCTTACTCTCAGTCAAGCTACTTTGAGTTGAATTTCCAATTTAAAAAAAGCCTGGATTTTTACACAAGGGAGCAACTACACTTAATTGGAAAGCTGATGGTTGAAATTAAGCTTCCAAAATGAGCTCAAATCCAAACTGCCATACCTGCATTGGCATTTAACCCAATTTATTTAACCTAAAAACATACTTTTTTTCAGAAATTCCGTAAAAATAAAGGTGAGCATAAATAAGAAGGGAAAACAGACCTAGGGTAAAACTTCATCAGGTGAGACAACAGCTGCAAGCCAATGAAACAGAATCATTCCTACAGCTGCTGTATAAGAGGACGAAGTATATTCTGACCTCCGCATGTGGCCACCTCTCCCTGTGGGTGGAGAAGAAAATGGTTTATACTCTGTCTTCTTGGTCTTTTTTTGAGGAGACATTCATCCAGGGATGTTCACTCTGAGGAGACGTAGTGCTTTAGAGCCTTGTGCCAGACCACAGTGAGAAGACAGAGGTGATAGATCTTCTGTAACAGGACAGGCTGTTTATTCTGGGTTTGTCTGATGCTTAGCATGGTTGGATTCAAGTCCGTGACTTTGAAACAGGATGTTTCTAAGCACAGTATGAATAAACAATACTTTATAATGGGACCGGTGGCTTTGCTAATTCACGTTGATGCCCTCTTTTCATTCTGGATGGGAAACTGGGGCTCAAAACAAAATAGCTCACCCAGCTATGCTGTAGACCTATTCAGTCTTGGCTGGCTAGTAGAGGTAGATACTTTGATTTATTTTGATTAGAAAGGAAGTCTGGATGAGTGACTCAGAGATAGATATCTCTGCCTAGAGAGGTCAGCATTTAGTCGGGTGAATCCGCATTTGCCTCTGCCCTGACTAGGTCTCCTCGCTGGGGAGCGGCAATGACCATGTGATGGATGCTGTGTCTCAGTGCGAGCAGTACGCCAAAGAGCAGGGAGCGCAGGAGCGCAACGCGCCGTGGCGGCTTTTCTTCAGGAAGGAGATCTTCACTCCTTGGCACAACCCGAGTGAGGACAATGTGGCCACCAATCTCATTTACCAACAGATCGTACGAGGAGTCAAGTTTGGGGAGTACCGGTGTGACAAGGTAAGTGTCCTCAGCAACTACCGGTCTCACCAGGTTTCATCAAAAGGGATGAGAAATCTTCCTCCCTGAACACCTGCTAGCTTGGGGATTATGGTATGCACTTGGGAAACGGGAGCTACAGGAATCAGATCCTCTTGGCTGGGGAGAGACCAAACACAAAACCCTCCCATGTTTTGCATGAGCCCTCTTTCCCGGTGAATTTTGGATGTGAGAGTGAGCAGCCACTTCATCCATCAGCCTCAGTTTGGAGGACCACAAGCACGCTGTAACTAGATCACCAGATCAGGAGTACACAGCAGGATCCTGGTCGGTCAATCCCGCTAAGCCTTACACGAGAGATGCTTTTCAGGATACCCAGACCTCTGCCACGCAATACAAACCCAATAATGCTGCCATCTGCTGAAGGGACATTGGCAGCAGAAACCTATGCCTCTAGAGTCTCTGGGAGCTTACAGAATTATTCCAGTGTCACTGAAATGAGCATCTCAAGACATCAAAATCTCTGACAATGTCCATCACATTTTGTTCTGCTTGTGTTTAAAATCATCCAAGTGTCAAATTGAAGATACCTCTCTTCCCCAGCACCTAATCATTATCCTGTGGTCTAGTAGAGTCTGGTCACCTTGGGAACTAAATCATCTTTTCCCATCTATATTGCATTAACTGTAGCTCTTTTATCCTATCTGAAGTCCTGCCCTTTCTTCCTCCACTTCTCTTTCTCCTGGTCTCGTGCTATTATCATCTCAGTAGCTCTATTATTTCACTCCAAAGTGCTTGGAATGTAGCTGCACCGAAGGGCATTTTACAGTTCTGCATTATGCACAGGTGCTTCAGTTGCTGGGCTTCTCAAGTATGAGAAATGGTGGATACAGGCCGTTTTCAATCATTAAACTCCGTCTACCATAGCAAAACCACCCACTGCTGACTGCGGGCATCAGAAGCAGACTGAACTGCAAGGAAAGACTGGGACAAACATATTTTTACGGTTGGACTTGATGATCTTAAAGGCCTTTTCCAACCTAAATAATTCTATGATTCTATGTTCACACACAGTACAGGGTTGCATGGTGCTGGTCACTGAACGTGTTAAGGCTTAATCATAGCTTTTAGTGGTCAATCTCCTGAACTTTAGATGTGCAAAAAGCACCGGTGAAGAAAGGAAGCACCCCCACACCAATCTGAAGCAGCAATACATCCAGCCTGCAGAAAGAGCTCCTTGGGTGATGGAGGATGGATGCTGAGGTGATGGCCTGGTAACAGCATTAACTTGGCTTGTTTGGCTCCCACAGGAAGAAGATCTGGCAGAACTGGCTTCCCAGCAGTACTATGTGGACTACGGGTCAGAGATGGTACTGGAAAGGCTGCTGAATCTAATTCCATCCTACATCCCGGACAGAGAGATCACAACTTCGAAAACAGTGGAAAAATGGGCTCAGCTCATTATAGCTGCACATAAAAAGGTGGGGACAATAGGTCACCTGGCAAGGACCAAGGTGTGCTTCAGTAGCTTTGTGTTCCTTTTAAACATACACCAGACATCATAGCTCAGCTCTTAGCCTGGTTTGAAGCTAAATCAAAGAGAAAGGGCAGGTTTTGTACTAGCCATATTCAGGTTTTGAGGTAAGATCTGACAGAAGAAGACAACCTGCAGAGATTCACTATGAAAAGCAAAATGCCACGTCTGTGGTCTCATTCCTGGTATACAGGATTGTGGTGTTATTGGTTGTATTACAGTGGTGGTTCATGTCTCCAGGCAATGTCAGGACCTTATTGTACCAGGCGTTGTATAAAACCTCCCCGACATTCGTAAGAACATTTGTGACACCCTCCCATAGCAACACCTTCCATAACTCATTACCCATAACTCATCCAGGCATGAGAATTGTCATTCATTTAACAGCAGGAGTCAGCTTCAGATTAAGACCCCTAAAAGGTAAGCATCTCCATGTGTGTTAGGAGTCTCACCTCCCATTACTGTCAATAGAGACCCAGAGATGCAATTCAGTTGGGTCTTGCAGATCCTCCATCAGCCTGTTAGCTACACACAGAAGTCTCAGGTATCTGAGGATGTCCTAAATAAAGCTAGATGCCTGTGCTTAAGGGCTACTGAGTGTCCGTTTCCAGCTAAAGGACTGTCAAGCTGAAAGGTAGACACCTACCTTAGAGAAACCCAAAGTTAGCTGAGATGAATCCCACCCAGACTGGTAACTCCAGATGCTTGCTCAGCCTTCTCAGAGTTGAATTATTCCCTTGTCCTGGTTTCAGCAGGGATAGAGTTAATTTCCTTCCTAGTAGCTGGTACAGTGCTGTGTTTTGGATTTAGGATGGGAACAAAATTGATAAGGCACCGATGTTTTAGTTGTTGCTAGGTAGTGCTTACAGTGGCCAAGGACTTTCTAGTTTTCCATGCTCTACCGACTGAGAAGGCTGCAGATGCACAGGAAGCTGGGAGGGGGCACAGCCAAACTGACCAAAGGGACATTCCATACCATGTGACGTCATGCTCAGTACATAAACTGGGGGAAGCTGGCCGGGGGGGCCGCTGCTTGGGGACTGGCTGGGCATTGGTCGGCGGGTGGTGAGCAATTGTACTGTGCATCACTTGCTTTGTGTATTATTACTATTATCATATTATTATCATTATCATTTTATTTCAATTATTAAACTGTTTTTATCTCAACCCACAAGTTTTCTCACGTGCTTTTCCAATTCTCTCCCCCATCCCATCGGGAGGAGGGGGAGTGAGCCAGCGGCTGCGTGGTGCTTAGTTGCCAACCGAGGTTAAACCACGACATCCCTGAAGTGGGAATCAAAATTTGGCCAGGGCTTTGTCCAACCTATTGCTTGTTCCTGTAGGACTTCGGCCCTTAGCCTCATTGAGAACTAAATTAATATTAGTTCCAAGATCTTCAGATGACATGAATTGGTTTTCTTTGCTCTCTTCCTGGCTGTAACTGGGTTTGTGCTTCATGTTGGTTGTAATTTGCTTTGTCTATAGGGAATTTATACTCAGAAGAGGGCAGACCCAAAAAAAGTCAAGGAAGAGGTAGTGGATTTTGCACGTTTCAAGTGGCCTTTGCTGTTTTCTCGGTTTTACGAAGCCTTCAAATTCTCAGGTGAGTCAGTAGAGCACATCCCCGGAGCATAGGATGCTCCAAAGCAAAAGGAAGGAGAGACAGGGACTCCACAGACAAGAAGACTTAATGGACCATCTAGCTGGTCTTTTTTAGATACGTTATTTATTGGTGCATCCTGATTATCAATGGCTCAAGCTATGAGTCTGCCACTATTTCTCTTACTAAAAATAACACTGTTTTTTGATCATTGCATCCTCCTTTGAAATGCACATGTTTTCTATATCCTAAGACCCTTCATGAACTGATTGTGTGTCTTGTCTTCAACCCAGGGCCAAGCCTGCCTAAAAATGATGTGATTGTAGCAGTCAACTGGACAGGGGTGTACTTTGTGGATGAACAGGAGCAGGTTCTCTTAGAGCTCTCTTTCCCAGAGATCACAGCTGTGTCAAGCAGCAGGTAAGGGGGAATAGACTTAGCTGGTGATCTCACCCTAAACCAGTCTTTTTCCAGGCTTTGCCTTTTGATGCCATTATCTTTCCTGTTTATGTCTTCTATAAAAATATATCCCAGAGGGGGAAAGCTGCAAGGGCAGAGTTTCACCTTGGCCACCATTAAAGGCGATGAATACACTTTCACCTCCAACAATGCAGAGGATATCCGGGACCTGGTGGTGACCTTCCTTGAAGGACTAAGGAAAAGATCCAAGTATGTGGTCACTCTCCAAGATAACCCAAACCCTGGTAAGTAAATGGCCCAGCCCAGTGGCAAACATATAGGTAGATTAATTACTCCAAGGGGATTTGGAAAAAAAAAATCAAACTAATGGTTGTTCTTCTTGCAGTGGGAGAAGAATCTGGGTTCCTCAGTTTCCTCAAAGGAGACCTCATAGTTCTGGACCAGGACACAGGAGAACATGTGATGAGCTCAGGGTGGGCTAATGGGTTCAATGAACGGACCAAGCAGAGAGGGGATTTCCCAACTGATTCCGTCTACGTCTTGCCTACAGTCACCATGCCTCCACTGGAGATCGTGGTAAGCTGTCTTACAGAATGGCACAACTTCATACAAAGCCCAAGGAGGTCAAAGCCTTCCTGAAGAGCTTAGATCTGGCCAGAATCTCCCTGACAATAAAGTGGATACCAGAGTGGCTGAGAGGTGACGAGTTGTCCGAGGCCAAAGTGATCTCAGCCTTTTCCCTGGTTTTTGAACACCACAAGTTTGTGACTTGGAATATCCATGAATCCTGCTACACTCCTCCAGCTGGCCTGATCACTTGTAGGTGTGTTTGGGGTTGGTGGGCACATTCACACGCGGAGCTGTAGGACTGAAAGCACATTATCTTCATTAGGAAATGATCCACACTATGGAAACATTCGTTATTCCTTGCATTAGTGACTGAGAATGGCACGCAGAAATGACAATTGCACAGTTCTTACTGACTATTAACTGGAATTAATGGATTATTCTTACTCACTCACTGCTCATCTTTTCACTTTGTATCTGCTTCCTCTTTCTGGATACATCAAATATATATTATATCCAATATACTAGGTGACAGAGACTTTTTCATCCCACAGGCACTGGTCACGATGACCCCTGATCAACGACAAGATGTTATCAGAACATCTCAGCTGGCAATTTCAGACAGTGAAGAGAGGGTGAAGCCATACACCTTGGAGGAATTTTCCTATGATTATTTTAGGTGATTTTTTAAACCATCTTCAAAAATTATAGGAATAGGAATCCATCCCCAGGTAGCTTGGGAATCAGGGAATTTTTTGCTACTGGAAAAGACTCCCCTTGTGTGACTTTGTACAACTGCATCCTCCAGTTTAGGTCATGGCATTTGAGCCATGGTTTGAGACATGGCATTTGAGATAAGGTTTTATGAAGAATTTCTTCAGATTGGCTCAGCACAGGTGTAACGAGTGAAATTTAGTATTATATCAGAGGCTGTGCTTCGCTGTCTGATATTCCTTTCCTATGATCCCATACGCAGCCTCAGACCATACAGGCAGCAGCTGAATTAGGTGAGGGCATTTTCATCTCAGCTCCAAAGATTTAAATGTGCACCACTGCTGAATGCAGCTGACCAGACTGATCCCAAAACTCCCACTCCTGTTCTGATGGGCTGGCAATCCAAACAGGCGGACCAGATCCTCTGGGATGCCTTCACCCTTGTAGGCTTGTTCTGCTAGGCAATATTCTTTCAGTGCTGCTGCTCTGATCATCCATTGCCATCATCCTTCCTTTTGTCTTTTTTGGGGGGTAGAGAAGGTTGTTTTGGTGTCAGTACTTGGGTAGGGTCCATAAGGGACTTTTCTGAGCCCTAGGAAAGTACAAATGGTTATCTTTGGGCACAGCTGGAGCTGGATACTTGCTAAACTGTGAATTTCCATTTAGTATAAGAGTTCATTAGCCAGGTGCTGTGAACAACCTTCCCAGGTGAAACATTGGCCACAAGCTGTCCCTTTTATCTCTGTAACCTTTCCACCTTTCTTCTTGCTTTGCCTTTGCCACCAGACCACCTCCCAAGCACACCCTGAGCCGGGTCATGATCACCAAGAGCCGCGGGAAGGACAAGCTGTGGTGTTACACCCGTGAGCCCATCAAACAGCCATTGCTGAAGAAGATCCTGGGCAGCGAAGAGCTCTCCCAAGAAGCCTGCATGGCCTTCATTGATATCCTTCCACTGCCTGGGGGAGCCCTTGGGCAACAGGTCTGACAGGCAAAGTGCTGAGCAGGTTCTTCAGGATCCCAAGCAAAGCCCATGGAAAGGTTTGTGGTCCCTCTTAAGGGCTTTGGGACCATGTCACAGGCTTGGGCCTGATCCTGAAATCTGTATTCAAGCATCCTTGAGATCTGAGGGGTGTCAGTATATCTTAATAAATGAGGGCCAGGGAGCAAGATATTGAGTCCTGCTGGTCCACACTGCTTAGTGGTTAACTCACCAGCTCTGTTCTGGCTTGCTTCAGCTGTGCCTCTCCAAAATGCATCTGCTGTGCAAGGGTGTAGCCCTAATCCAGTGTGAATGCAAACCAGTCCACACGGCCTCGGGGACAGGGTTTGATGCCTGAATAACCCTTACTTGGAGGAATATACACAGCATGAGAGAGATGAGCTGAGTGCAGACATAGATCCAATCTGTTGAAGTAGCCTTTATTTTTTGGTGGAGCTTTGCTCTAGGATCCAGACTTTATGGTTTGAACAGTTCTGTTGGTATAAGCCTGTTACTGATTGATACTACACTATTACTGCTACTACTGGTTTCCTCTTACTAGCAAATAGTAACAGGAGGAGGAATTAAAAGACCTGGCAAAACAATAAGAGGACATTTGCAATTTTATCCTTTTCCTCTTGCTGTATCATACATGATAATTCAGAAAACTGTGGCCTGTTCTCATGCAGAATAGTTGCAATATGGCGTGATGGTGAAGGTTGCCATTTGCTTTATGTTACTGCAGCTCCACTGGTGTCTGACACCAGCTGAAAATCTGGTCTTTTACAGTGGTACCTGTATGTGTGATCAGGTAACACATAATCACACGCAGCTATCTTAGGTCTACCCATCCTGAGCGCAAAACAATTCTTTCAACCTGAGATGGTGCATGATAAAAGTAGAGAGCTCTCTGGATATCTCCTGAAGCAATTTAAAACCTTTACCATACACTGTGCCCCCTGCATCAAATTGCAGCCACTTCTGTAGTCATATGTAGGATGTCTTTAATCACATCGTCAACAGAAGGGCTTCCCCAAACATCCCGGTTAGCCAATCCTTGACTCCTGCCTCCCACCAGTGCTGAAATACATGGGTGACTACCCCTCAAAAAGGACCCGCTCAGTCAATGAGCTGACAGACCAAATATTTGAAGGTGCCTTGAAAGCCGAACCCCTGAAGGATGAAGTCTACTGCCAGACCCTCAAGCAGCTCACGGACAACCACATCAAGTAAGCGTCATTCATTCTCCTTGGCCCAAATGCACTAGCCTGTGTTAGGCAAAGCAGATCTGAAGTGTCCATGCCGTGAGTGATTTTTTTTCCTCCTGGGTCTCTCCTCGTGTAGGTACAGTGAAGAGAAAGGCTGGGAGCTGTTGTGGTTGTGTACAGGCCTTTTCCCTCCAAGTAACATCCTCCTGCCCCATGTCCAGAGGTTCCTGCAGTCCCGGAAACATCACCCCTTGGCGGCAGACTGCATCCAGAGACTCCAGAAAGCCCTGAGGTACGGCACCAAAAGACCTCCTAGTCCTGACCGTGCCACAGCATCCAAATATGCATGAGAAAATACGAGTAGGAGAGATTGGGGTGGCTGGGGGGACAGTGAAAGTTCACAGCTTCTCTCTGCATTCAACCAAGCTGAACAAAAGGGGCATCAGGTGGAAAACGTCACTGGTAAACTGTTTAGGGAAAAACAGAGATTAATTAAGTCGACTTTGTCCTGCCATCTCCATTTAAGTCACCTAAACCCTAAGCAAACAGACATTACCCATTCAATTCTTCTTTCTTCTTTTTTTTTTTTGAGGGGAAAACCTAATATTAAGAAAGTAGCCAAAGTTACTCATAAAAGAATATGTATAAAAATGGAAGATTTAAACAAAGGATTCTTGCTTTTACGCTGTGGCACTTACCATCTCCTGTTTTGCAGGAATGGATCCAGGAAGTACCCACCTCATCTGGTAGAAGTGGAAGCCATTCAACACAAAACCACCCAAATTTTCCACAAGGTTTACTTCCCTGATGACACTGATGAGGTAAACGGGGGAGAAGGAAATCCTTCTTTTCTGTCAGGATGAATGTCAATTTTCTTATGAAAATCTCAGAAGAGGCTAATATTGGTTTTGATTCAGAAAAACTCAGCCTTCCCAGAAGACTCTGGGCAAGAGCAGTGTAAGGAAAACCCATCATTATCTACCCTGACCAGCTCAGGGGCTTGATTTACTGCAGTTCACCTTTCTCAAGACGTGGGTGCCGTGCTGGTGTTCACTGGCGGCTTTATAGTATGACCCCAGAAAGAATGAAGCCAGGTGGGTTCATCTCCATTCACTCTCAGTGGTTCATAAGCCTTGGATATCAGTTATTTGCAGCCTAGACCGACAGATATTGTCCACCCAACTATACCCAGTGGGGTACCATGATGGGGCTCCCTGGGGACTGGGCAGACTATGGCAGCACTGACAAGTAGGTAACTGAAATTATACCTTCTGACCTGAGATGACACAGAAATCACAGCTGCACTCAGGAGCCTCTCATTAAGCATCTTACACGCTAGTAAGGCAGCTAGTTACACTGATGCCAGAGCAGATATGCATGTCCTTGCAGATACTGCTGTCTCATGCTACTGATTAGTCTTCCTGTGAGGCTCACATCTCTCTCTCCCCTCATGCCCTTGGACACAACTAAATTCCTGTATTTCCAAGTGGGTTTCTATGTAAAGCAGTGCACACACATGGAGGGAAAAGGATGATTCCTCTCCAGCCGCTGCGCGTGTCCTTGTTTATCTGTAATGGAGAGTTGAGAGAACTGCTGGGATTCCTCATCACTTTGAGTATTTTTCCTACATGACCAGCAGTAAGCATGACACTGCTTTATACACATGCATCTGCGTGAAAGCCAGTAGAAGGAGGCAGTGGGGACTTCTGCACTTGGATGGTTTTGCTGTGATCCTTTTGGCCATGGCAGGACCTGGTACAACATGCGCCTGCACCAAAGGGCTGCTGAACACCAGCGGCACTGAGCTCCAGGCCGGTCTTTCACGGGGTATGGAATATGGGTCCTGGTGGTTTGGCGGTTCAGGTTAACGCAGTCATGCATGCGGTGGTCAGAAGCGTAAATTCTTTAAACTGCTATGAACTGAATCTCTTTCAGCGGGCAGAGCGAAACTGAGGCGATGTAAATGCTGAGCACAGCTCAAAAGGCAAAACAGGGGCTGGGACCTGCATGCAGGTGGGACAGCCCTTTAGATATCTCAGCCACACATAAAGCAGGAGTCATCTCCCCTCTCTTCAGCTATCCAGAAGTCAGGCATTTGGTTTAAGCCAGGCATCTGACCTCATCATCATCAGTGGAGAGACAGTTGGGACAAATCAGCCTGGAGCTCTCTCTCTCCAACGCCCCTAGACAAATAGCTCCAAGACCTAACTGTTAGATCAGAAAAAATCTTGTGCTGCCTGGGGAGCCCTGGATAAGCCAGCACAGGATATAGATAGAGCATCGCAAAGCACAACGGTACAGCAGTAACGTGGCTGAGCTTCTGCAAACGTCCCTTCCCATGCCCAGAGCCGTAATCCACAATGTCACTGATTTCATTGGTGGTGGGCACCTAAATCCCTTCATGTGTCTGAGCCTAGAGTTCCTCAAAGAGAGCCTAAAGTGGAAATTAAGCTTGAGGTAGCAGTGGTGAGGATCTTCCTTTCTTTGTAGGCATTTGAGGTGGAGTCCAGCACGAAAGCCAAGGACTTCTGCCAGAACATCTCCAACAGGCTGCTCCTAAAGTCCTCTGAGGGCTTCAGCCTCTTCGTCAAAATCTCTGACAAGGTGAGTGACCCACCCAGAGGCTGGGGTAGTCCCCAGGCGCTCGGGGTGACCCACCTGCCAGCGGGTACATGTGTACACAACTCCAATGCTGGTGGAGCCAGAGCTATCTGCACCCTCACAGGTGAGATGCATTTCTCTGCAAGCAGTGTGGGGTTTCTAAGTCAGATCCAACCTGCTACAGGTGAGATTTGCAGTCCCACAGCCCTGACTTACAGCAATCATCCCAAAGGGCTTAAAATACAGACAGGCAAAGCTCTCCTAGCCTGTTGCTGAGTCGGGTTTATAAGAAAGGACTAAGCAAGAAAAACACGCAGCTTAGAGCTGCCTCAGGCAACTGGGAGAAATCTATGGAGATAGTCATCATGAAGGGAAATGAATCGTTCCGGTGAAACGGGAAGCTGCAATAAGGAATAATGGGTGAAATTAGAGACAGGGCCTGCAGCAAGGTGCTGGCAGTGACTTTCTCACATCAGCAGTTTGTAATACATCAGTGTAACCGGGACAAAGCAGTGAACAGCTACAGCAGAGGGGGCAATGGCCAACACTGCCTGTGGCCTCTTGCCACTTGCTCAACCTTTGTAACCATGTGCTGTCCCCCCCAGGTCATCAGTGTGCCCGAGGGAGATTTCTTCTTCGACTTTGTGAGACACCTGACAGACTGGATAAAGAAAGCAAGACCGGCAAAAGATGGTAACAGTGACTTTTCTCCATTGTGACTCACACAGAGCCCTCCTAGAGCTCTCCAGCCCTTTCAAACAAGATTGACCACACAGTCTGCCCCGTCTGTTGGGCCACACTGCTGTGGTTGTGCTGTCTGCACCAGCCCTGGGGACGGCACCTGGGAGATGATCTGTCCAGGAGCAGCAAGACCTCTGCTCCAGAGCTAGACCTGGCCCCTATGAGGAACACCTGCTGATGGGCAGTTCTCCAGGGCCAGCCCATGGGAAAGTTGCAGTGGTGGGATTCATCTCACCTCGCTGCCCGTATCCGCAGCGGAGCTGGCTGCAGCTCTGCTGAATGTATCAGTGGCTGCAAGACACAGGTGCCTCCAGGGTGCAAGTCCTGCATTAGGCACGAGCACTATCATTGAAGTACAGCCATGCAAATGAATCCAT